TTAAATGAGGTATACACAGGTCCTTCAGTAACAGCTAAAGAAAGACCAGGATTATTTTCTTATTTCTGAGCAGTTACAAAACCCCCTAATTTTTAAGTCTTTCTCCCCCATCTGTTTACCTGTCAAACAGGCTGGATATTCAGCATTCAGGTCCTCTGCTCAAAAATAATTACTTTATAGCAACTAATTTACATCCCTCCAACTGCATTTTAAGTAAAAATAATTATGCAATATGATACCTTATTCCTAAAAGATGGGTTGGTTATTTTTGTGTATTCAATGTTTTTTTTTTCTCCTGTTCAATTACTCCTAGTAGCAAACATCCAATATATATATAAAAGGCAGTTTATTTGTCATTAGTCAGGGATCTTATCCTAAAATCATGGAACAAATGACAGTCTTATTTCCATAGGCTTATTAATAGGTAATGTTAAGCTTTAATTTATATTTAATTTATTACAATTTAAGTAAAAACTATTGATGGTGATACGTGAGACAACCTACCAGGGTTTTTAAAGTTAAGAATGAACTGGAATGGTCAAAATGGACAAAATTGTTTTGTAAACTGAAGAAACTATGTGTTAAAATATATATAAGCCTGCAATACTATTTTTAAAAGGCACCAGTCATAGTGCATCTACAATTTACAGTAGCATCAATGTTTCAAATGCTTCCGTTGCAATTATTATTACAAGCCTTATTCAATCTTTATTTCAGGGTTTAAAAAAAAAATTAAGCCAAAAAAGCATTTTTATATTTTAAAAAATGCTAGCATTTATTTAATTGGTCCCTCCTCTGTCTATAAACTTAAAACTCTCTAATATGTTTTTTTATGTTATGCCACATTTACAGGTGAAGAAATTTGCAGTCACAAAGGGGTCAGAATCCAAGATTCATACCCTATTTTCAAGACAATTCCTCCTGCAAAGTAGCACCAAAGAAATGCCCCAACACTGTCTCTTTATGAGCTCTATCAGGTACTGACCAAGTATTAACCAAATCCAAAGTTATTTAATTTAGGAAGTCTGACAACTTAAAAATTTAAGACATGCTTCCCCCTTCATTCTAACTGGCAATGGTTGACTCCTCTGTGTCATTTATGCTACAGATTTCCAAAATTAACATCTTACTGCAAATCACTTTCAACAGACTATTTTTTTTTCCTGTCTGTTAAATGTAAGTGTCATTTTGAGTCGCTTGAACCAAATTCATCCCTTGCAAGATGCTTCTTTGAGGGTCTGTGCACAATCCTTGGGAGGAAGGAAACCTGGACACAGTGTGCCCCCCCTCTCTGGGTTTCTGCATATCAAAAAAACTCTTGGGTTTGTCTTTTTTTTTTTAGCAAAGTGAGCTGCAATTTTTTCAACATCAACACTCAAACTGTCTAATAGATTCTTCTGAAAGCCTGGAACATGAGTCACCCCCACTTCAATTCATATTTTTCCGAGTTGTGGAAAGCACAATGGTGGTGGAATGCCAATATTTTCGCATTTTTAAAAACCCCTTCCTTCTTCCAAGAATGAAGTGTTTACAGAGAAATAAATATTAATTCTCAGACTTGCTCTAATGCCAATTGCATTCAGAGTTAATTTGCAGCATCAAAAGTGAGACTGTTTAAAGGAATAACTTCCAGCAGCATCAAGTCTAGCAGAACCTATTTGGGACTTCTACGCCATGTTTACATGGTGTTTAAGAATGGTAAAACCCCAAATGCCAACAGAGAGGCTCAGTCACTAAAAGGTAAAAAATTGCTTCTCATCTGCAATAATCCAAAGATCATGGCATTCCCTGAAATGAAGAGCCCAAGTTTACGACTGCTCAGGTCAGTGAAACAATCCTCATGAGCACACATGAAGTTTAGACTGACCCTGCCTTTTCAGGTGTGAAATAACACCACAGGATGCATTCAGAGTAACACAACTTATACTGTGCTTATCTCCTGTGCAGCTCACAGCACTTGTACTGAAGTACCACCAGCAAAATCTCAACTCCTCAATCTTTCCTGAGCAGAAAACCAAGCCTTGCCACTATTTTAATCCGCAGTACAGCTGAGTTCAGCAGAGAGAACTGGCTCTCTGTCGCACAAACGCTCTCTTAGCAACTTCATGGCATTATTTTCACTCGACATTTTCCTCACCTTACAAATTCAGCCGAACGTATTTCAGAGCCAGTGATGTTGGACGGTTCAAAAAAAGGTAACTGCACTATTTAAATGGAAGAGGTTTAGCGACACACCATGAAAGAGCACTGTATTCTCAAATGTGGCAGTTTAATTTTCAGACCACACACAAGCAAACTGGCTGCTGCACCACTCCCTGTGCCAATAATTTAAGAGCCAGAGTATGTGTAACCTTTGTCACGAAGGTCACATTAACTGTCACTAAAAATTTTAGAGCATCTCTGTTGGCAGAGCTATTTTTCAGACAACAGATGGTGGAAACTGAGCCCTGACTGTAAGTGGTGTTGAGTCAGTAACCAGCACTGCAGCTGAACTGTCCAAATGCAGGCAGACTGAGGGGAAGGGAGGCTACCTGGAAAACTCTTCTGCATCAATGTGTACAGACTTCTTTTAAAAGTAAAGGCAAAAGTTTCTTCACATCCTGACACTGGAGTTAAACCTCTCTCTCAGCTTTTGACTGTGTGTGTGCAGAGGACACTCACGGCCTGAATCTCCGGGAATGCTTTTTTAATACCCTGAATTATCTTCTACCTACGCGTTCGTTCCCTGAATTTTGAGGATATTCACAGTGTTACGCTAAGTGCACTAAAATGGCTTTCTAGTCACAAGAAGGATTTCAGTACTTCGCCAGCTCCAGGAGGAGAGGTCACAGATGGCACGTCAACCCACCACTGGGACCGAGCCCTGGGAGTCCGACTCCGACTCGCACTCCACTGCATCTGTTACGACCACAGCGTTTCCTCAACCCACAGGCAGCACAGAATGCATTTTTCTGGGGCCAGGCTTTGTCCTTATCTCTACAGAGAACATTTTTCTCCTGGACCTGCGAACTGTTTCCCACAAACCAAAGCCCTTCCTACTTAAGGGAGAAACCTCAACGTGGCAGGTTCACGTCGCGCCAGGTGGCACCAAAAGGACAGCTCAAGGGTTTCAACGTCATAAACGGAACTTAGCATCAAGCAGATGACACATGCTATGGAGTAAGAGCAAATGTTAGTGTTCCCTGGGATGGTTTGTGCACTGCAACACCTCGTACTGCAGGCTGAACTGGGCTCTGGTGTCATCACCACTAAATTAAGTCCGTCCGTGCGATGGGATCTTTCCACCACAAGCACCTCATGGTTAAGACCAAGAGCCCAGTGAGACACTCAAAGTGCCCTGGAATGGTTTCGTGTCCCTGCAAAGGCAGTCAGAAATCCAAGAAAACCAGAAAATACCATGGGGTGCCTTCCGGTTCACAAGATACTTTTATGGCTTAAAAAAAGTATATGACCTGAAGGATTTATTCTGTGAGGTCTGGATTTTTTTGAGAGGTGGGGAGGAACTGGTCCCAAAACTCAGTGAAACAGTCTTCTTCAAAAGGCTCTGAATCAGGCTTTAATTGCCCAAAGTGTAAATATAATGAATAAAAAGGTACAAAACCATGAAAGCTAGAAGCCTGACTAAGTACTAAATTGGTAAAAATAATTTTAGATCTCTATTAAAAGTTTACTACACAGCAATTATAGGAGGAGATTATGCCTTTCCCAGACTTTCTAAAAATAAACATTTACTTCCTTTGTGCAACCTGCTTCCTAGCAGGTGTGGGAAAAACGCCAGTTTTCATGGGGACAGCATCATCCACCATAATCAACTCAGTCAAAACAGTCATTTGTAAAATCTGCTGCAAATATTTTAAATAATTAATCTGGCAAACATTAGTTCAGCAACTTAATATTGCAGTTTTCCTTTAAATGTTCTTGCCCTTTGTAAGATTTCTCAAAAAAAAAAAAAAAAAAAAAACCACCACAAAAACACCAACACAAAAAACCAACACCTTCTAGCACAAGAGGCAAAAAGGCATGTAACCCAGCAAAAATTGGCAAGCCAAAGGGTTTATTTTTATGTGATTTTATTTCTGATTGCCATATGAAGATTGCCATATGATGATGGTTCTGTGGTATAATATGCTGCAAGAATAATTCACACAAAATCCTGTCCACGGCACTTGAGGTAATAAAATAACAAAGACTCAGCAAACAAGAACCTTGAAGAATTCAACTTTCTTTTGCTAACAAAATTACAGGAATGCCCCTATAATTTGCTACTTCCCATCTTAACCCATATGTGTCAGAAAGCTAAAAGTGTAGAAATTACTGAATCTTAGGACACAGCAAAACAGTAGCAGCTCTGTCTAGGATATTGAAAATTCATGTGTGAATGTAGCCTGGGCACCTGTGTAATCATGTTTATATCCTAAAACAGGTGACCAGCTGCAACCTGCAAGAACTTAGAATAAGGCTAAGCAAGTTTGTCATGCATTGACATGTTGAGCTGAAAGCACAGAAAAAGTGTAGTAATGGCCAGGGCCTTGCTGTGACACAGGCTGGAGGTGCTGTGCCATTTCTAACACAACTGCCAAGCCGTGGTCTTCCTACACTAAAGCAAAGCTGGCCACTTATCTCAAGAATTAGATTATCACCATCTAATGGGATTTGACAGCACTGACAGGAATTCATAAAGGCTTACAAAGGAAAAGATCTGAAAATTCCAGAATTCAAAGGTAGTCCTTCCTCCCATTTACCATCGCTACGCTTTGCTGGTGTGCAAAAGTGCACCAAAACCTCGTAACAGATCCTAAAATTTGCCCACATCTCATTAATACACTGCAGTCTTCAAATTTACACAGAGCTGCAGTTCTCCTGTTTTGTTTTGGTTTTTTGTTTGTTTGTTTTGCTTTGTTTTGCTGTCTCAAGCATCACTCATCTAACTTAGCAGGTGTCAGATGCGTTTTGGTTTTTTTTTTTTTTTTTTACAGTTCAGTTTAAAAAACATCCTCTACCTGGTATCTCTGCCGTGATTGTCTTGCTGCTCCCTGAAACCTCTTCGTCGTCGTCGGACGAGCTGGTGCTGGAGTCGCAGGTCAGGTCGCTGTCGCTGGTACTGCTGTCCTGCAGCAGGTTGTACTTCTTGCGAGCAGCCGCCTCCCGCTTCTGCCTCAGGAGCCGGATCCTCTCTTTGTGCTTTTGGCTTCGGTGGCCCTTGGCCTTGGTAACTCGACCGTTCTGCTTGTTGCTGGACTGTCGGTTTTTCTTGGCAGCCATCGTTGAGGTTTCGCTCTCGGACCTGGATCTCCTGGATTTCCTCCCAGCTGCGGCCCCGGACGCCGCAGAAGGGTCTCCCTCTGCAATAGCTTCAGCTTGACAGGGCTCATTCTCTTCCGTGGAAGACAACGTGTCTGAGTCAGCCAAATGCCCACTGGAAGAAGGGGAGAGCATGCAGTGATTGGAAGAGTCACTCTCATAAACTCGGCCGCCCGCTGGCTTGTCGCTCTCCGTGGATGCCAGCTGGGACTCCGAGGAGTCTCGCCGCAGTTCCATCAGCAAGCAAGGCATGGAAGAGAGCACTGCAGAGTCAGCTGCAGTGGGCATGCTGTCCTTCTGGGTTTGTGCCTCGAGCTCTATAGGTCCGTCTTCATCAGGAGCAGCCTCTTGCTTTTCAGAAGCCTTTGGTGGAACTTCTGAATCAGCAAGTTCTTCAGCCTTTCCCACTGCCTCCATCTTCATTGCAGAGAAAAAAGGTCCTCCTGGTCTCAAAGCATTGGGCACGGGGTCTGGAAGAGTGGGCAAACTATATGTGGTCTTCAGGAATATAGCACCCTGCACAGGGACAGAAAAGTAAGAATAATTTAAACAAATCGCTCACTCATCCCTGCTCTCACAGCATTACCTAAACAACCCATTGCTTCCAGTATGGTTCACAGAATCCCACAATGGTTTGGATTGGGAAGGGACATTAAAGCTCATCCAGTTCCACCCCCCTGCCATGGGCAGGGACACCTTCCACTATCCCAGGTTGCTCCAAGCCCTGTCCAACCTGGCCTTGGACACTTCCAGGGATCCAGGGGCACCCACAGCTTCTCTGGGCAACCTGTGCCAGGGCCTCCCCACCCTCACAGACAACATTTCCTTCCCAATATCCCACCTAACCCTGCCCTCTGTCAGTGGGAAGCCATTCCCACTGTCCTGTCCCTCCATCCCTTGTCCCAAGTTCCTCTCCAGCTCTCTTGGTGCCCCTTTAGGCACTGGAAGGGAATCTGAGGTCTCCCTGGAATCTTCTCCAGGCTGAACACCCCCAGCTCTCCCAGCCTGGCTCCAGAGCAGAGTATTGTATTGTTCAGTATTGCATTGATTCTTCTCAATTTACTTTTTCTAGTGAACTCATCCTGTTACACTGAGTTATTCCTTTGTTTTTACACGCCCATGAAGGATGGTACTGAAGACACACTAAACATGGTTCGCTTCATTGGAATAATCAAAACAGATCAGAAAACAATAAAAATATTTCTGAACTCCTACTTTATAAAATTCAATCAATATGTTATAACCAACATATGTTCAACTTCTTTACCTAGACCTTTAAACATATTTTAACAGAGAATTTTAGTCCTTCTAACAACTTGAAAATTCCCAGATGTGGCAGCATCCCCCTAGACAGACCAGAATATAGTTCAGTTTCCATATCTGTGGGAAATCTACTTTCAGATGAACAGGAACTCGACCTCATAAAACTACAAAGCTTTTCTGGTGATTTTCAAACTGTACCAACGAGACACAGGTGAAATTTCATCACTGTGCACAGAAACTGAAGAAGCTGCTGAACATCCCAGAGCAAGACTTCAGACACCTTCCTCTTCCAGTGGAACTGCTCTGCCAGTTGACCTTTAAGTACCCAAAGACTTATTTAAAAAAGAACTGGCATGAAGTGCTACTAAATCGTCAGAGACAGGGCTATAGGCACCTGTCCTTGGAGGCATTAGCTACATGTAACACAGATTTGCTCTCAGGCAAGAACCACCACCTTGGTGAGTCTCCTAAAGATGTTTCAGGAGTATCTAACACACCATCTGAGAGCTCCTTGAGCATCTCCCAAACAAGCCCTGGTTATATGAGAACCTGAAGGCTGATCTAGTTGCTCTCAGATCCGTCAGGAAAGCAGCATCAAGTAGTAGGGACCGCAAGCGAGAAACATTATCCACCCACACCAGTATCCTGCATTTTTCTTCAGGTTATAGTTTAATAAATGGCATTGCTTCAGTGCAAATACAAAGCCCAAGCTGTTTATCTGATTGATAACTTGAATGTTATCTACCAAAAAAATACCTGAAGCAGCCTCAAGGAAATTTTGTTTGAGAGATCAATAGTTATCATTCTGCCTTCATTATTCACACTTTGCCTTTTTACCTACATTTTCACTTGGAATTCAACACACAATAAAGAGCTTTCAACTACCACATTCGCTTGCAGATCAATGGTATGGAACAAACCCTTTATAGGTTCAAAGGTATAGCAAACAATAAATTTATGGCACTTCAGAAAACAAAGTGTGAACAAGAAAAAGCAGCAGCAAGATTTAATCTAAAAAAAAAAAAAAGCACTTCTGCAGAGAAGGGCAAACAGTACTTGAGCATTCTGAGGAAACTTGGGATGGTTCAGAGGTTTTTTTTTTCTGTACCCTGACAATCCTTATTCAGTTTCCTGATCCATCCCAGGATGCCTGTTATTGTCTGGATGCAATTGTACATATGTAATTATATGTATGCAATCTCCAGCACAATATAAGGGTACTTCCCTGCTCCTAAAAGGTGCTGTGCCAAGCTCAGCTTTGTCCTGCCTGCCCTAACCCACTTTGAAATCCCATTTTTAAAGAATACTAAAATAGAGTTCATGCTTCCTTCAGGCTAATGCTGTGTGGTGCAAGGGAACCATGAAAATACTCAAAGGACAGGAACACCAGTTAAGGAAAGAGGGGTTGGTTTATATCAGACAACACAGGGAAGATGGAGATGACGAGACTAGGTCTGCTAAATATAAGGGGAAGAAAAGCCCTAAGCCCCAAGCAGTAAATGCAGCTTTTTCCTTCCAAAAAACCAGAATAAAATGCACACTGCAATAAATACAGGAACATACATCTAAAGAAAAATATTTGTGAATACTTGCACTGAGTAAAACTCTCCCAAAGCAACTTGAGAGAAGAATTTCTGGAGATGGTAACTTAATGTAAGCAGTAAATACCACGTAGGAACAACTTCTTTCCAAGGCCACAGAAAAGCATCAGCAAACCCACATGATGAATACACACGTTCTGAGGCATAAATGCATCTCAATACTGTAACAAAATCAGTATTTCTACCGTAATTCATTCATAAATCTACATTATCCAATAATTCTCCTACTACACAGGTGACAACTGAACGACTGGCCAAGACTTCTGCACGGTGGGTAGTGCAAATCCTAGCTTTGCTCTGGTCATGCAGTTTGAAATGAAAAATACCTTCTCTAAGAGTTCTGAAATGTACAGAGAGGCTGCTCAGACAGAAACCAGAAGCGCATTAGCCTGGCCAGATGAAAATATATTTAAATAATCATACTAATAACTGCAGAACAGCTTCTGCCCTATTCAGCCTTTTAGCCTGGGGAGCACAACGAAGGGAGCTTGACAGGAAGCTAAAGGGCAGCCAAAGTGAACTACAGGCTTTTTTACACCAATGTCCTACTCAGGAGCATCATTCACCTCGCAGCTCCCAAAGGGGGAGTACAACACCTGTACCTGCCTTTCCATGCCTCCCCCCTGAGAGCCAGAAAAAAAAACCACCAACGTTTCACCCACACGTTGCCACCTTGTTAACGGTCTAATTACAATGATTTTATAGGATTTTTTTATTATTAAGTCGGATCTTGCTTTAACTACTCCAGCCACACTGGTTTAATCCCTCACACAGCAACCACTGAATTATATTTTCAGTGAGTTTGCAGCACAGGGCAACAACACTGACATGTGTTTCCGTGTCCATGGAAAAAATACCTGCACTGGTGAGGCCCCTTGAACTGGTTATTTAGACATCACCAGTTCCAGTATTAGTATGAATATAAACCAGAACTTTGTCTTTCTTTCACTGGAAAAAGAAATCCAGCATGACTCAAACAGACTTTGCTGCTGGGAGGAATACAGACAGTTCAGGGGAAAATATCTATGCCAAGGAAAGCCTCGTCCCAAAGAGTGAAAAAAATGTACTTCTTTAATTCTACTTGAGAAATGTAGAGATCAGCAAGAAGAGACTATATTAAAAAACTCCCATTCCTTTCTTGCCACGCACTTTTCCAGCAGCAGTACTAGAAAAGGTAGTCTCAAGGTGGTGCTAGAGGGAGACCCTTTTTTTTACTGCAACAAGAACGCAGCACTGAAGAATAAGTTGTGACACTTGCAGACACAGATGGATACTTAATTAGACACTGATTGGAAATGTCATTCTTTCACTAATCAACAGATACTGCAATGATGATTTTAAAAGCCAGTTCTGTAAAAACTTCTGTGCTAGATTTCTCCAACAGAAAATACATTATTTTCCAGTCACACAGAGAACACACCAGTGTGCAGAAACTATTAAATCATCTAACTGTACCACTACCTGAGAAACATTTTGAAATGCTGGACTCATTTCTAAAAGCACATCATTTGTACACAAGGAAATCTGCAGTTCAGTGAAGAAATCCAGAAGGATTTTGAAGGTCAGGTTAGCAGGGACAGCCCTGCCTCTCCAACAGGTGGCTGCCACTAACAAGGATGAGTTTTGCCCCTTACTCTTTTCCCACCTAATTGTGACTGCACAAGTCATATTCCCTCCTTTGCACCAGAACCTTTTCAAGGGCAGGTTCCTTTAACTAAGCCAGTAGAAATCAAAATGAGAAAGTAAGTGACATTTTCTGCCAGACCAGTCAGGAAGGAGGGAAGCGAGGGCAAGTAGAAACTATCCCTTTAGAAGAACACAAATCTGATGAAAAGCTACCTGCTTGAACTCACAAGTTCAGCCTAGACACAGGAGAAGGTACCAAGCGATCCCTTCATGGCACAGTTTGCTGTGGGAAGGCATTTTGGTAGATAAAAATGTGATTAAAAGCAGAAAAAAACCCCAGAGCTGATAGTAGCTCCCCAAAGACCAACTACCACGTAATATATACCACTGCACAAAGAGCTGTATTGAAGATGGCAGGTTTCCCCACAGCAGAGAGGCATCAGATTATAAAAATAAATAATTAAATAGAGTTTGCAGAGCAGCAGATCAGCTGCAGGTGGGTGCCTCTGGAGAGGGACCCTGAGGAAAGAAATCCCCAGGCAATTACACAACTTACGCACCAGCCCCTCAGGCTCACTGTCCGCGCCTCTGCGCCTCTTTGGTTTGGGGTCTTCCAGAGCCGAGGAGTCTCCCTCCATGTCCACATCCATGTCCATGTCCATGTCCATGCAGGCAGGCTGTTCAACCCCTGCGGAGTTGCAGCTGTTGCTGGTGGTTGCTCTCACCTGATCTGGTCTGAGCTTCTGGTGCTCACTGGCAGAGCACATATAACTGAAACAGCCCTTGGCTCAAGGTAATCAGCTCTGAGCAACAACTAAAACATCGGTGGGTTATCAGTGTTCTAAACACACTAAAGACAAAACACAGCTCTGTATCAGCTGCTAGGAGGATTACCAAGGGAATAAACTCCATTCCAGAAAACATCTCAAGGTGTTAAGTTCGCAGCTTCCTGTGAACTCTGAGGTTGAAGGTTTCATCAAATCCAGCTACTCAGGCCAAGCAAACAACAACAAACTGAATCCTACA